TGCAACGCGAAATAATGCAACAAAAATCCGCCCAATCGCCGCCAAAGTTGCTCCACGAATAAACCGTGCAAATATAGGCCAAAATATTTCGATTCAAAAGAAGTCTAAAATGCAGGCTGAAAGCGACTAAGAGATACTCTCTATATAAACATATTTCTGGCTTCCAATATTTATGTTTCAAAAATTAACTCCAGCTGAGCCTGGAAATATGCAAGGCTTTTTTTTGTAACTTAAAAGAGTTGCCATACAAACTATGCCAATATTTAGTCAGCCATTTCTGTTATTATTCAAAACTTACAGAGTATTAAGGCGATCTGCCATAAATCGAAATTTTGTTGTTTATTTATGAAACGAGGCGCAACAAGCAAAAGGAAATAATTCGTGTGACTCAATTAGTGCGAGCTGACAGCGTGTCTAAATGCATTTGAACACAAAGAGAAAAAGAGAGAGAGAAAGAGACGAAGAGAATTGAAAATGTATGGAAAGAGTAGAAGAAATGAATTAGTCAAGAGTAAATGAAATCGAAAAGATATTAAATGAATTGAGATAATTGAATAGGTCATAAAAATAGATGGTTAAAAGTTACTCTTAAGAGAGATAGAGAGAGAGAGAGAGAGAGAGAGAGCCCGCGCATATATGCAACAATCTATTGACGCATGTTGCATGACAAATGTCGAAGAAGCTAAGGTTTAGAAACAGGAAATTACTGTAGACATATTTTTTTAAATAGTTTTTGATTTGAATATAATCTGCAATTTTAATGTAAAATATATAAAATATCCAATAATACCCTAGAAATATGTATATAGCATGAAAATTCAAAATAATATATCCATAGAAAATATTCTGGAATAATCAAAGAATTTCCCACGAATTTCAATTGAATATAATCAAATTTGGGAATTTTTACAAATTATTCCATACTTTCGCGGACGTCGACAAATGCTGCGATAATTTATAATTTATTTTTATTATATTATTATTATCATATTAATTATTATTATATTTGTTTGATTATTTGTTATTATTATAGTATACAACTATTAATAATTAAACAACATATTTTTTTTATATATATTTTTGTTTACATTTTATTTTTTATCTTTCCCTTTTCTTTAGTCCCTTAGGAAAGATGTTTTAGTTACAAAGCTGGCATAATTTATATTTATTATTAGTTTATTATTAATAATAATAATGATTATATCAAATAATATAACATTTTTAATGCATCCTTTTTTAGTTACTTTTTAAATGTCCTTTTTCTATTGTATTTATTATTTTTATATTTGTTTATATATACTCTAATATAAGTTAATATAATTATCTTTTACGTAGCTGGGAAAATTCACACTTTTTAAAATTATATTATTATTATTATATTTATTATACTTTCTTATATAATTTTTAATAATTTCACTTGTATCAAATAATATAAAATTTTTGATATATTTTCTTCATCATTTCTTACAAAGGCTTTCTGTTTGCATAAATTTGGCGTTTTAGTTCAACAAGTTTTGTTTGAACAAAGTTTTGTTTTAAGAACGCAGAATATTCTTTTGAAAAATATTGATTTAATTTTTGTTTCTTTATAAACTTTAGATTGCTTTTGATTTAATATGCGTCTTTTATAAAGTATCATGATCGACGCGTTCTACTCTTCCCTCCTCTCTCACTCTGCCTTCTGCCACGTTGTCGTTGGCAGCTTCAAGTGGCAGCTGCCCTGGCAGCCAGCCACACAGATACACACACATACACACATACACACGCACACACACACACGTGCAAACGAGCGCAGAAACTATTTTTAAACACTTTATTTCTTGCCTTCTTGTTAATTGCCTAAATTTTGCGTTTATTTCTTGCACCATTTTTTTTTGTGCCGCAAATTAACCAAAAAAAAAATGCAAACTAATTTATTTAATGCATAAATTTGGTTTATTTATCGAAAATGCGAAATGCCTTGAACTTTTAGCTGAATATATTGAATTATTTTCTTGGATTTAAATTTAGTTGTGTTTATTTTTAGCACACAGCTCTTTTATATTTCCTTTATTTTTTTTAAATTGATTTGTTATTGATTTTTTTTTTGTTTTTTGGTAATATATGGCTAGGTTGGAGCGTCTATAAAGAACACTTACATAATTCGATTTGACTTGTTTTTCGCGTACCGCCGCACTCAAAATTGCTGCTGCCAGCTGTTAGCACATGAACATATATACTTATATATAGTTATATAGATATATATCTATAGATACTATATATATAGATGTGTGTGCGCGCCGCTCGACATGAATTATATTTTTGCTACGGTCTCGTTCGGCGATCGTCTCCCAACAAACTGATTTGTCTATTGGACATCTAAACAACATTTTTACCACAATCCCCCAGTTTCGGGACGTTGTCGCCGCAATATTTTTCTATTTTCTATTTTCTTAATTCTCATTTGCTCTATGTGTCTCCAATCTCTTGCATCTTGTGCGTTTCTCTCTTTGTGCGTCTATTTTGGGCTTTTCGCATTATCTTATAAAAATACTACGGAGCGTTTGTATAGACAAGTTTTTCGGGCTTGACGCGTGTGTAAAAAGTTTTGGGAAATTTGTTTTTTTTTTTTGGTTTTTTCTTCACATTTCTTTTATTGTTGTTAAACATTTTGCATGCATTTTAATCTGTTGCTTATTTTGCTTGTGACGTTGACGTTGAGTTGCGGATTATTTATTTATTTCTCTTTTTTTGTCTGCGCATATTTCTTCCTGTATTTTGCAAAATAAAATTACTTTTAAAAATAAAATTTGCGAGTAAAATAGAATGAAGCACAAGGATTTTTCTGAATATAGCGCTGCCTGCAATTCTTTCCTTAATAAATCAATATATAAATAGTATAAAAAGCCTTCCCTCTCTAACTAGCCCATTTTCTACTTCCTCTATTTATAGAACCATAAATTGTTTATCATAAAAGATTTTAAACCTATGTCATATTATGACAAACATTTATCGTATTATTGTGGAACCATCAAAACCGTCATCCCTGGGCATATTATCGCCTCTATCGAGTATATCTAATAATAATATATAATTATATTTGTAGGCGTGACAATTGAAGAACCTTTTTTTACACCTTAAAAAATATTTATTGTGTTACATTTCTTATAAACGGCTACCTAAATAAATCATTTAAACATTTATATACAATACAAAACACAATAAATTCAATGGAATTTAATGTGCTGCTAGCTGTTAAAAATATGCTCTTAACAGATTTATTAAACCCATTATGTATTCTTATAAATAATATCCACGCACGCTTCAAAAGCGCCACCTGCCGGCAGCGTGCTTACAAATCAAAAAACAATTAATGGTTGTTTGTGTTCATAAATAAATACAAGAAATATTTATTTATAAATGCGAATTAGCCACTGCTGTTGCGAATTATGGTCATTATTATTAGCGCCTCGTGGCAGGCGCTGTTAATTTGAGGCACGATAAAGTCCAGTCATGGGCGCAACATGTGGTATGCGTAATGCCAATCAAAATTACGTATACATTCACTGTTACATATTCATATAAGTGTGTGTGTGTGTGTGTGTGTGTGCACGCGGTAATAAGTGCAAATTGAGCTAGCAGTAAATGACATGCAAAACGGATTTGTCAAAGAGTCAAAGCCAAAGTCGACGTCGACGTCGACTTCGAAGACGAGCGTGAAGGCGAAGCCCAATAATTGCAGACACGCATTTTTGATAAGCGTGCGCTCCGCCCACGCCGTTTCGTCTTTGCCGCTGCTTCGCATTGACTCGGGACACGACCTTGCCCGCCGCTGACGTCGCCGTCGACGTCGACGTCAAGACCGACGTGAACGCTTGCTGCGCCTTCAATCGATGCCTGGCGCAACGTTTCGCAGCTGTTTGGCGGCCGAGCCGAAGTCGAGTATCGCGTGGCCACGTTCGGCTCGCTCAGCTGTTCGTAAACAAACAAAATGCCGGCTATTGTTATTGTTATTGTTGCGCCTAACGGAAAAGCTTTGCAGAAGCTTTTACCATTTTCTATCGCATGCGAGAAATGACGCTGGCACACACGGCGGATTCTTAAAGCTAAAAACTAAATTTTCGGCTGCATTTGCGCAGCGCGCGTTGCAGGAAAAGCAAGTGAAACGCGGAAAATTCAACGATTTTTTTAATGCCACACCGCGCTCTTACCCCGCCATGCGTGGATAGAGAAAAATAGAAGTTAAATGTGCTCCACGTGCAATATTAAAGCAGTATCATCTACACAAATACATATTTATAGTGCATCAAATTGTGCCTTCAATTGTGTCCCGTGCGCATAATTTCATTTGCGTAATGCTCGTAGACAATAAAAAATTCAAAGCACAATTCAATGTAATATACTAAGTGCGTTTCTATGGAGTAGCGTGTTATACATATATGTAAATGGAAATGAAGCCTTGGAAAATATATATATTATATTTAACACGAATCTGAAAGAACAAAAACTATAAAATAATAATTTAAAAAATATAACTATGCAAGTGGGAGTAAAATATAATACGTATTAAAGTCAAGTTTAGAACAGAGAAAATTATGAGATATATTTAAATATTTATGCTTGAAACTCTTAAGAAACCATTTTAATATTACAGATCAAAATAAAGACAATAAACTAAATTTAAATAATTTAAAAATAAATATAATTAATTGTATTCATATAAAATAACAGATAATAAACGGTCAAGAAAAACACATGTTAGGCCTAAACATAAATGAAGAAAAAATAAATAATAATAAATAAAAAATAAACCATACATTTTAATATAAATGATGATACATGACATTAAAAAATTTTAATTAAATTTTCTAAAAACAATTAATGCATATATACAAAATTTAAAAAAGCTCTAAAGAAAAAACACCATAAGAATTAAATGATAATAAAACGTTTGAAACATCTTAAATATAATAAAACTTAAATAAAAAAAAATTTGTACTGGTTATAAATTTCGAAAATAAATAAGAAAATGCAATTGTTGCTGTAAAAAATATAATTAAATATGTGTCACAAATAAGAAAAGCAACGGAAATTAATATGCATAATATGGGATATCGCTTAAATGCCAACAAGCTGCACCTAACCAAACCCAACTGCAAAGATTCTTTTCTGTCGCAGCAAGATTAAGAGAAACAAAAAAAACAAAAATAACGGCACAAGTCTTGATGAAAAAAAAAATATAGCAAAGCGCAAAGCAGAAGAAGAATAAAGCAGCTGCTTGCGGCGCATTGCTGCTGCGCCACATATATACGAAAAATCGATAGTTGAAGCCGCAGCAGCAGCAGTCGTCGCAGCAGTCGACGTCGACGTCAGCGGTTAGCGTCAGCAGACGAAAACGCTTATTAAATGACAGCTAAAAATAGACAAAACAACAACAACAACAGGAAGAACGGATACAACAAAAGTTTCAACTATTAAAGCAAAGCAACTAACTACACGTGGCAACAATGGTCGACGCAAAGCCACCGCCCACACGCACGCCCACGCCGGGCACACCGCCGGCTGCATTTGCCGGCGAGAGATCGAAAATAAAATTATTTATGGAACGGACGCCGAGCATCGGTGCGCTAAAGTCCAAATTTTTGACAGTGTTGGGCAACAGCAATGAGCTGTTCAATGGCATATCAAACAAGGTAAGGCCTTGATAATGAAAGGGCTGCAGCAGTTGTCTGTGGTGTTTTTTTTGCTGTTGCTGCTGCAGCAGCTGCACTCGTTTGACCTTCACTTGGCCCCGATATTATTGTTGTGGTAGCTGCAGCTGTTGCCATTGTACTTGACTCTTGTCTGACGGCGCTTTGCAGCACTGGCTGCAGCACAATTGATGCTCGTCTCTCGACTCGTCCTTGAATTGTAATTAATTATATGAGTGCCTGTCGAGTGCTTCACGCCTCAGTTAAAACGAGTAAACGTATTGCAACGGTAAATGGCACAAAGTTGCCATCTCCTTTTGTTTGACGAGCTCTTAATTATGGATTATGCCACTCGCTCTGTCTCTTTCACACCATCTAGCTTGAGTGCTGCAGCAAGTGCAAAAGCAATCAATTTAGTTGACTCCCTTGATACTTGCCAACTGCATCGCCTATCCAAGGTCGCAACTAAAGAGATTGCTGTTGTCTCTAGGCCTGCCCATTGTTAAGTGCTGCCATTTTTTTTTTTTATCAATAGACATTATTTGCTTATGCGACAGGCACTTTGTTTTTGAAAATGAAGATCGCCTTATTAACTTTTTGTGGTATATTCATACACTACATATATACATATTTGTAAAGTAGACAAGTATCCTTCTTATTCACTCTTTTTCTCTCTTGCTTTCTTTCTTTTCATTCTGACTGGCTGTCTAAATCCCGCTAACTATTTTTCCCTCTCCCACTCTCACTGCTTTCTTCTCGCACAGACTCAACTCTTTTTCTGTTCCACTCTGCCTTCTCCCACTCGTCGAATATCTCTCTCGCTTCCTCCCTCTCTCTCTCTCTCGCTCTTCTCTTGCCTACTTTCTCTCCCAACCTCTCTGTCCGACTCTGGTCTTCCTCATCTGACCAGATTGCAGCATATCTACCAGTCGAGCACATAGCAAAGTGCTGCCATACATATGAATAATTCATTGTAGGGTGGCAACATCGTTTAATAACTGCATTTTTTGTGCATTTACAGTTAACGTTGAGCAGCAGCAGCAGCGATTCAGATTATTGCGACGACGATGACGAGGATTTGCCCAAGTGTAAGTAAATTTAAGAAGCTGCACAAGTCCCCTTTCACAGACACTTCCCCTTTCCAGATGACGAGACTATTGACTATACGAAAATCGATTTTGAGGCGCGTCGCGTGAAGGCGCGCCGTGCGCATGAGGAGATCATCTCGGGTCGCTTCAGACAACCCAATTTGGCGCCGCGTGAGTAGCAAATTCCTATATATTTGTATGCTGCTCTAATCTTGGACTAACTTTTAGGTCCACGCTTGGAGCTCTCGCGCACGCGTCACACCAACAAGCTGGGCGGCCCGCTGCGCTCCAGTTCGCCGTCCTCGTCCAGCAGCGGCGGCAGCAGCAGCGATGACAGCAGCTCCGCGTCACTGCCGGAGCCAACGGCAGCCGCACGTTCGCACGATGTGAGCAGCACCACGCACTCGAATTCTCTGGAGTTTGAGTCGCGCCACTCGGGTGGCTATGAGCGACCCCGAGCCATTGCGGGCGCTCGACGCAGCGAGCTGGACATGCAAAAGGATATGCAGCGCATTAGTGAGATGCTTGAGGCCACGACCATGCCTCCACTAATTGATGTGCAGCCGCCCACAGAAGGCGGCGGCGGCGGCGGTGGCAGCTTGATGACGCGCCAGCCCTGGGGCGCGAACAGCTCAATGCGAGTTGTGCCCACACGCAGTCGCACCTCGAACAGCAGCACGTTGACCAGCCTGCGGGATGAGCCTGATCAGCTGCAGGCCAGCCCCAGCATGGAGTCCAGCGATTGGCGCAACTTTATACGCTCCGAATCGCAAAATTCGGTGCCCTCATGGGCATCCTCCATAAGCTTGGATTGTCGTGCCGGCGAGGAGCCCGTTAAGGAATTCATGAAGCATTTCACCCAGCTGCTCTTTAGCAATTCGGCAGCTGTCAATCTGGAGCTTAAGTCCGAGCTTGGTGTGCTACTGCGCCTGGAGATGGGCCGCCTGTGGTTCACCAGATTTCTCAGCGAGCAGCGCAACAAATCGAAGCGCCTGGAAACCTTAACATTCAATGCACTTGCCCAATACTTTGCCCTGGCGCTATTCGAATGCGGCGAGTGCGAGGATCATGCGCCAGCGGCGGTGCTTATGAATCTCTGTTTCTTGTTCTATCACGAAGGTAAGTTGAGGCAGCTACTGTTTATGGAGTATCTTCTAGTCGGGCACGCTCGATTAGCGCACGCATACTTATATTAAACTCTTGCTACCCATTGCAGTTGAAGTTCCTGGCTGTGATCCTTATCGCGAGTATCTGTTCATATCGCTGCGCCAGCAGCCGCTGTGGCAGCAGCCGCGCTTCTGGAACGCCATCTTCCAGGATGCCATGCAGGCTGAGCGTGAGCATCGGCTCAGCTCGCAGCTGCGCCGCCAGCAGCGCCGTCAGGCAAAGCAGCAGCAGCGCCTTGCAGCCGGAGCAGCAGCCGCAGCTGCAGCAGGAACAGCTCCAGAGTCGGTGGTGCCCGATGCTCGCAAGAACGGCGTTGATTCCTCCTCAAGCTCCTCGCACCAGGGCAGCGCACCGGCGGCGACGTTGGCAACAGCCAAACGCAAATCTAGCAAATGCAGCTTGGGCCAGCCGCAATCGGCCAAGGAGCAGGACGATATTGCATTTCGGCAATTGAGGTTGTTAGCTCTACGTCTTAGAGTAGCCCGAGCATATTACTGAATAATCTATCGGCTCTATTTTCAGTGCCTTCACGTGCAACATGCACTCGCTGGGCACCAGCCAGGAATTGTGTCTCGATTTTCTAAAGAAACATGTTGTGGCGCTCAATCTATCCAAGGGTGAGTGCAACAAAAATATATTAACCTTCTATCGTTTATATCTTTATATCGTTAATATGATTTTCAAAGAAACTTGAGAAACTTGAGTTTCTATTGTTAGCATCGTTTAGGAAGTGTGCCCAATATCGTTTTTAGGGTTAAGAGCAATCTACTTTCCTAAGTAACTTGGGTGTTTCGTGTCCGATTGCCTCACAACTTTCTGCGCACAAAGATGGCATTCAAAGATATGCGTGTACCTAAGACCTAGGCTCTTCCATCTAGTTTTCTCGAGATCGGGTTAATGTTATTAGCCCCTCACATTTAGTCGATCATGTAAATGGGAACATGAATATATATTTTTCTGTCAGGCACAAAAATTGATAAGTTACAGAATAAGAAAGTATGCTGACTTGTCTCTACAGCTGATATGTATTTTAATCTAGTTGAAGCATTTTAATTTATTTATCTAGCATGCATCTAATACCTACTAACGTCTAACTAACATTCCTATAATGATATTACAGACAAAGCCAAACTAATCAGGGACAATATTTATCGAATGTATCACGAGACGGAACTGTGGGGTGCTCGTCAAACTTAAGAGCGTCCCAACTTGTTTAAAGCCTCCCAGAAAAAAAAAAGAAAACTATTAACTAAACTTTTCAAATTTCGTCTCAGCTGAAGCTAAACTTTTTGACTTTAAAGAAAGCTAAACACTTAAATTAATCTTGATGTAGTTAAAAATGTTAACTCGCATTGTTGACTATATAGGAAAATGAATGAATCATAAAAATATATACACACTCACACACCAGATATGTATGTATATTAAAATATATATTAAAAAGATAGCAAATATGAAAAGCATACAATATTTATATCCGCAAATTGTGATAATAATATTTTGTGATTACTTTATACTATATCAAAAGAGCAAAAAAAAAAACAACAACAACTAAGTTTAGCAAATAAAATAAATATCCCAGAATTCACAAAGCAAATTAAATAATGAACTAAACAAATATTCTGTAATATCTGTAATATAGGTACAATAATTCACATTTAATAAAAACCTACTAATAAAGTTTAACAATGGTACACAAAACTAATTTGTACTAATCTAAAACTAAATTTAAAATGTTTTAAGCTGTCTTAAATATGACAAATTGCAAAATTGTTGGATTTGTAAAAACATTTTTAAATTGAATCAGGTTTTCGACCGAGTTGAACTGGAAATATTGCTTCTTTTTTTTTTTACATTCGTAATTTATTTATTTCTATTTATTGTGTTTTCTATATTAAGCATTAAAATGCGTTTTATTTGTTTGCATCAAATCGATTGCATGAGCCCATACTATATATGTGTGTATATAAATTTATACAACAAATGAATTGAATATCTTTTAGTGTCCCATGCAAAGCATATCAAAAACATAATTCTTTGATATGGTTGTGGGCAAGCCTTAGATCTCGCTGGCTATAAAAGCTACATAATTGTTTAGTTTTATATAAATTTTGCCATTTTGCCAGGTTTTGCAGCGCTCAAAAGTTACAATCCAAAATCAAATGCTCGACGGTTTCCGATCCCTTCTATTTTCCCGGCTGCTCGAACTGCAAGGCTTTCCGCTTTGAGTGTGTGTGTGTGTCTGTCAGTGTCAGTGTGTGCCCTGAGCTCAATTTCCTGGGCAATGCGTGCCTGGTTTAGTTTTACGCCTCGCCGGTGGGCATTCGTGTGTGTTTGGTTAGATCGTACTTATACATAAAGACTCTGCCGTTTGGGTCGCCCGTTGGCCATCTATGGACACAAATAAAAAGCGATTATAATTGGTGTGCTCGGATTTCTCAGCGAGATCTACTCACTGCTTGGTCGCTGTCAGTCGTTGCTCGGGTTCGATGTCCTTATGCAGGCGCAGTATGTGTTTCTTGAGGCCCTCGCTGCGTACGCACGCCTTGGGGCAGTGCGGACACTTGAAGGGCTTCTCGCCCGTATGCTCTAGGATGTGCGCTTTGAGATCTCTGTTTTGGGCAAAGGGTTTCGGGCAATAGGGACACTTAAAGGGTCGCTCACCCGTATGACCGCGTATATGCCGCTGCAGATTATCATTGGTGGCAAATGCCTTCGGGCAGTGTGGACAGTTCAGGGTGCGCTCGCTCGAGTGCCGGCGTATGTGCTTCTGCAGATTATCGTTGGTGGCAAATGCCTTGGGACAATGCGGACAGATGAGGTTGCGCTCGCTCGAATGGCGGCGTATATGCTTCTGCAGATTATCCTTTGTGGCAAACGCCTTGGGGCAGTGTGGACAGTTGAGGTTACGCTCGCTCGAATGCCTGCGTATGTGCTTCTGCAGATTATCATTGGTCGCAAACGACTTGGGGCAGTTGGGGCACAAAAACGGCCGCTCGCGATCTCCGGAGTGGGTGCGCGTCAGATGCACCTTCAGATTGCTGCTGGTGGCAAAGTCCTTGGGGCAGTGTGCGCACTTGAAAGGCTTCTCGCTGGCCGATCCGCTGTACGGCGTTTTGCCACCGTGCTGGAATCTGAGAAGCGCAAGAGCATACAGCATAATTATGGATTCGATTACTATGAACATGACGGACGTACTTTTTCTGGGCCTGCTTCTCTAGTGGTCGGTCTTTGCCATCCAGTGTGATACTGGGGCTGCTTTGCCACACAAAGCTCATGTCCTGCTCGATCTTAACCAGACCCAGGTCTCTGTGTCGCATGGTCAGTGGCCAATCCTGGGCTTTAAACATATTGCATATCGCCTCACAGTGCTCCTCCTTGACGCAGCCCACGTCTATCGTTTGTGCCATGTTCAATGCAGCTGGGCGCAACACCACTGCCTGCTTTTTGTATTAAACAACTCTCGATCGGGCAAGCGATAGGATTATCTGTATTTTATTGTAATTTGTATAGCGTAAACAGCAAAAAGCTGAAAAATTCCGATGAATTTTTTGCTCGATATATCGACTAGCTGTCAGCGCAATTGTGATGTGTGCACAGCTGTGTGCCAAACAGGTTGGCAGCGCCGGGCGTGTCAGCAGCGTTGCCACACTGTCCAAAAACTAATTCTTTTGCGGTAAGGCATTTCTCAATTGTTTTGGCGGCAATTTTAAACTTAAAATGTGAGCACATCAATTTTATTTATTGCTTTATGTAGTAAAGTACTTGGTTTTGTTACGTTTTTCAACTTTTATTTACTCATTAATGCAACAAAAAAGAATTTACTAAAAATTTTCCACTGATATAAATCTCATAAAAAGAAGCTTAAAAATGTAAAACAAGAATATGCCTGGAATTTGTTTATGTTATTGTTGCTGCTATGACTAAAATTTCACTAAAGGATATATATGTATATGTTTTTTAGTTTTTTGTTTTTTGTTGTTGTTGTTTTCAATACTTTTTACACATCCTTACAGAGGCGTGGCAATTGTTATATAACAAATAAATTATTTACGTAGCTTGCTGAGGTTTTTTTTTCTCGCATTTTTACAAATTTGCATTTTGCTGAAATTTAATGTAACAACTTAAAAAAAGAAAAGGTTTGATTTCTATATTTTTAAAATTAAAAAGTATGCTGCTGGCATATTGGAGTACTTGGACTGGAGAACAAAATTAAATGGCATTAATAACATAGTACATAAATACAAACTAAATACAACTGACAAATTAACCATATGCTTTACAAGAATCTATAAAATTATAATGTTTATATTATTGTAATTATTAACTTATAGCAATAGAAAAGCCGGAAGCTATGTATAACAACAATTACGGGTGTACGATTTGAACTTTTGTGAAAATTTCGGTTTTTTTTTTTTTTGTAATATTTCTATTATAATTCTTTTTTTTTCGGGGCTGATTTTGTTATAGGTGCGCGTTGTTATTTTGTTTCTCTTCATATAAATATATACAATACATTTAAGACTTGAAGGCGCCTAAGCTCTAAAAATTAACTTTTCTTCTTCTCCTCATTCTTGTTGTTGTTGTTGTTGTTGTAGTTGGTCTCGGGACGAGAATTTCGCATAAGGCTAGCTTAGGTTGTTGCAATCACAAGTTCTTCTAGCTTAACAAACCGTTCGCATTTTAATCCAACAAAATCTGGAAGGTAACCGAACCCTTGCGATCGCGTAAGCTGCCGCTGTAGATGATATTCTTGGCCCAGGCGCGGCACTCCACATCCAGCATCTTGCCCTTGGGCGGGGCATGCAATTGGACGGCAACAAGCGGACTCAAATAGCCGGGCTGATTTAGATAGGGATAGTAATAGGCGGGAAAGCCCTGGCTGGGATAATAGCTAATGTTATGGAAGTGCTCCTTATCCTTGCTCAAGTGACCGTTGCAGGAGACCCAGATTTGTTGGCGCTGTTTAACGAAATATATGGTAGATTTAGATATATGCTAGCTTGTTATTAGGCGGCGTTGCGCGGCCCTAAAAATTATCATCATTTAGAGCTAAATGCCTAACAAACCTCATCGACACTCGTTGCATTGATGAGCTCCTGCAGATCGGCGGGCATGCCATTGATGGCCGACTCATAGAAATCGGGCACCCAGCCAAATATTTTGTTCAGCTTGAGAAAGATGCAGGGCTCGCCAGTCTTATAGCCATATCCATTTGCTGCTGTGCAGGGTCCAAAGTTATCAATATTAACGACGCAGACCTCGTTGTCATTGTGGTTTTGCTTGAAATCGCAGTGCTTCATCTTGCGACCCTCGGTGTGATTGTAATCTGTAGCATATTGTATTAAGTATATAAACATATAGTATTTTTGCTACTTGCCCAAAAGGCAGCTCTACTACATACCCTTTAAAAATTCATCGACCAAGCTAATATAGTATTCATATTCGGCGGGCTTCTTTCTATCGTATTCAATAACCGAACCGCGTTCGGTTTGTTCGCTTAGCGGTCGGAAACCCAATCCGGGATTGGTGCCAATCAGAGACTCATCCAGCTTCCATTTAGGCTGATGATTATCCATAGTCGAGAGCATGACCTGCATGCAAATGGTGAACAGTATGCCAAGGACGATATAGAATATGGCATAAAATAAGAATAGTTGACCTGAAAAAAAAAAACAAAAAAGAAATTGTTGAAAAACTGGCACATTTATTAAGGTCGTTACTACTAATAATTATATAGAAGAGTTTTTCCAAAAGAAATGCTTGAGCGAGGTCAATTCTTTCGTCAAATTCTTTGTAAAATGCATAGAAAATAAACCACTCTCTCAAATAATCGAACTAATTGAAAATCCCAATTATCGATTACTATTTAAAGCAATTATAATCGATATCTCGCCATTTGCGTCGAACTGACTAGCGAGAAGTCGCTGTTTCAAATGCGTTAAATTATCTTTTAAAATGCATAGAAATGTAACCACTCTCTCAATTAAACAAATTAATTGAAAAGCCAAATTTATCGATAACAATTTAAAGCAATTATAATCGATATCTTGCCCGCTTGCTTTAAATTTTGTTTGCCACATTTTGTTGCCATTGTTTTTGTTGTTATAATGGGGGGAAATTGAAAACCAATAGAAACCGCAGCAAATGCAGTAATTACAATAAAACCAACAAACAGAAAGGAAGTAAAAACAAACAGCGGCAACTACTGGGCACTGGCTGGCTAGTATATAGATATTTGTATATAGTTGGGTATTATACGAGTGTGTTTACGAGCATTTCAATGCCAATGGCATTGACGGGCGTCAGCTAGAATCCAGCATTTGGCCCCTTTTGAATGGGACCCAGACCCGTTCCATTGGGGCCAGTTGCATAAATAACGCAACGTTGACAAACCCAAAATGGGGCTACGGGTTCGCGGCTTGCGGCTCGAATTTCCAAAACAAATTAATCGTTTGATTCAATATCGAATACAATGCACGAATCGACAATGACGGGTACAGTAGGCCACAAAAAGTAAACAACAAAAGCGTAAAGTGAAAATCGAAAATCTATCAATAAGTAATCAATGTCAGCCAGCGACTTTTCATGCTCGCTATTTAAGTTTTTCTTTGTACAGGTTCATCAAAATGTTATACCCTGTAGCCAATAAAAATGGAGTAAATAACAAACGGGGTATGCTGTGCTTGAGCCATCGTTTGCAACAAGCAGCGGGCGGCTTATCAAAACTAATAACGCTCGATTAATCTCATTTTTAGAGCATAAATTCGCAATTTCTTAAGACCAATTTGTCAGTTCATTTATCGTTTGGCTTGCATAAACTTACTTTTTATATATTCTTACTTCTCATTTCAAACCAAGCAAATAAGTTTTAGTTGTTTCAGAGCTTAGGCTGAAGCACAATTTGCGGTTGTTATTTTTGTGTAGAAGCGAAAAGCTGTACAAATCAAAAATCCACCCACTCTGTGCACAGGGTATCTGCTAGTCTGGCAGCCTTGCCTGCTAGACACAGCGACCGGTTGCTGTTACCAAGCGCCCCTTCCCGAGGCAAATGATTTGCGTTCAAGTACAAGGAAATATGTTTGGCAATGACCACACGCTGGCGCTGCCCCCCGGGCATTTGGGCACAGACGCCATCGCCGGGCTATGACGCCAGCCAACCAGTCCGTCGTCTATCCGTCCGTCCGTCCGTCCGCCCGCCCGCCCAACCGCCGGCCCCCCGTTCAGTTGTCCAGACAGAGCTTGCCAAGGTGGGCGCCTGCGGCGCATGTGTTACCAATATCAAGGCGTGTGTACTACGATTACAGGCCAGTCAACATTCTTATGTCTTCAGCTATGTGAAATTACAGACGCACAACAACACAAACATGCTACACACACACACACACACACACACACACGGACACACACTTAGATATAAAAACCTGCCCCTGTCTCTGCGCGTAATCGATAATTTTGCCTCTAGCCACTTGCATATGACTCGAACAATTACTTAGTTCATCATGATGGATAGCCCACTGTATATGTCATATCATATCATATATATGCACACACACATATATATATATGCTGTATAGCATATATATAACCTTTCTATAGCCCGCCTTGATCCTTGTTGTCTCAATCAAACCAAATGATTGTCATTTCTCATTTGCGAGTTTTCCCATTTTCTACGCACATTTGCATAAATTCGATTGCAAATTGAGGCCTCCAATTAGTTTTACGTCTGACAGTTTAGGTCATTAAGTTCCCGTGGAGCTGCAGTTGGGTCGAGTTCAAAAGGTTACGATGGGAGGCCAAAGAGTCTATTGAAAGTTCAATGCCAAAATCCTTTAAATACTTGTTTGAAAAGTCAATTATAAAACTAAATAGCTGGCATAAATAATAGCTGAAGTTGAGCGAAGAAGTCGTTGGTTCAAACCCACTACTTTCTTTTTTATGAATGATCTATTAAAGTATCTGGCGAATAGTAGGTTTATCTCTAAGTTCTTTGGCCCCAATTTGCCTGCAAGTGTATTAAAAAGTGCGTACTATGAAAAAACATTTTTGGTGATTTTTTCATGCCACCCTAATTCTCAGTTTGAAGTAGGGTAGCTGAACTCTTTGGTGCCTGTCAAAATGGCACAGCGAACTCGTAATAAATGTTCAAGTGTTGCTTTTTTTTTTTTTTTTGCTCGGTTCATGTTTTTGGCATCTATTTTCGTACTTGGGAGAGCGTGAATGTATCTATAATATAGATTTCAAGGCAAGATGCCAGGCAAATGCCAAATGTTCGGACCGAACGATGAGTGGCATTATAGAATCGGGCCAAAGCAGATCTATATACGATATTTGTAATCATCTTGCGTATGCGAATCCAAGTTGAAAAGCAAAGCAAATAGACTTATGCGAAGCAAAAGTGAAAGACACAGCGTGAAATACTGCAGACATCAGCAGCTCTTGACTTAAATGTACTCTACTATTTTTGCCGATGAGCCAACATTTGGGCTGTTGAATGACAGCTCAGGCAACAGCTAAATGATCGAAGAATTATATTTTTATTTAACCAAAAAATTTAATTAATTAATTTGTATACCAACTTAATTTTGAAGAGGTTCCAACAAATTTTCTTCAAATTTGGAAATATGTAAAGTAATAGAAAAGATTGAATACTCGTATAGACATTTGCCTGAAGCTCGTAAAGGCTGAGTTTGTAGGAAAATATCCTGGAAATCTTCCTAAAGAGCTATATGATATAGTAGCCCGATGTTGACAAGATTTTGCACATCTGTAGGGAGCAGAGTCAAAAGGTTTTCAATACAAGAATCTACTACTGAATCGTTTCTATGATATAGTGGTCCGATTTTGCTATATATAGAATCTGCAAGAAGTAGAAACAGCTGAAGCAAGTTTCCGCAAGATATCTTCAAGATACATTGAGTTCATAGGGACAGTTTCCTGCTAAATACGAGATAGAAATACTTTAAAAGTCCACTAATTGAAATTCCTTCAAAATTATAACGCTCTCTCCCTCTCCCCTCCCTCTCTCTCTCTCCGTCTTCCTCCCTTATGACATAAACAAATTTGTATTCATTTAACATAGGTTCATTTATTTTCTATTTTATTTTATTTGTTTAAATATTCTATTTGAACTTTTTTCAAGAAATGTTTTGAAAAACAATGAAAATGTTTACCTCAAAGCCACATAAGTCACATATATTGTATGCCAATAAACTGTGTGTGTGTGTGTGTGGCACATGTAGGGCTTGCAACCCTTGCCCTGCCCCCCCCCTCCCCCCCTCTGCAAACCCATTTATAGTATGCCCTGGGCCAGCCTTCGAGAGGAGCCTGCTTTGCATTTATATAAAAGTTGAGCACGAGTTGTGTGTAAACACAATTCATCTGGAACTTTGTTTATGGGGCACATGCACTGACCAAGGCAACATAGGGAGAGCGGGAAGGCGGATGGGCAGGTGATTTGGTGGAGGGGCGCCGCATTGTGCAACCAGACGCGACTCAATGACCAAGTTTCAATAATAACACTCCAGCTCTGGGCCCTGACGTTGCGGTAAACAAACTTAAAGAGCCCGTGACCTATATAGGAATGCGGGTGCTCACACCCAACCCAACCCAACCCAGGCCAACCCCACACGACCGACCGACAGCCCGACCGACCGACCGACGAATCCCCAGCCCCAGTTGCGGCTCCTCTGACCAGCTTTGGCTGGCGTCCATGTTCGTGTCTGCAGCCCCCAAAGTTCCCTTCCGTCGAGCGCGACCCAACGAAGGCCAAATAAAGTTAATAATTTAGCTGACCGCTGAACGCACATATGCTGCAGGCTCAAACAGTGAAGTACAGTGAAGCCTCTCTAGTGATAACAACTACAAAAAATCCATTTTTTGCTAAGTCTTATTTTAGAACTCTTTCCAAAGCTTAAACACAAATAACATTCAATTAAAAGCTAAGAAAGAAGCTTACGTCTCAAAAGCAGCTGTCCGTTTGCTGCGAGGTTTTACTGTACTTGTTAGGGGGCTCTCTTTCTCTGTGTTAACTTTGGCTAGTTGTGCGATTTCACACCATTTGTGGTAAAAGTCCCAATTGTTTACCGCACGGTCAGCCGCATAATTGTGGGAGGTTTGTTTAAGGACCGCAAATGGTCGAGCAAGTCATTTGCTTAATGACATTTTGCTAGGTGCTATATTCAGTTGGCTACGATTTAGATCTAGTTCAAATGAACCGTTTTATAGAAGAACTTGCTGAACTTAAAGTGGGCCTGGCAATCAATAAAAGTTCTCTTTTAATTGCAAGGAAACGTATTTTTTGAAGTCTCCTGCCGGGGCCGCTAGACACTGGAAATTAATCGGTTATTCGACTGACGGTTTGAACCGGCAACCTCTTTCCACATCCATAATCCCAGATTTAGAGGCTTCAGAACATTCTGCAGCAAAATTTAAATGGGAACAAGTAATGAATTAATTTCTTGTCAGCTACGTTAACTTATACCATAAAGAGCTCTTAGTTCCGGGTAAATTCATTATAATATTTCCCTCTACTGTCGTAGAGGTGGATAAGATTTTAAAAGTTTTATCAACCGATTCTTCGATCGAACACATGTTATATTCATTTGCTCACATCTTTAACCAATTTTAGCCATGTCTAAAGACAACCATCTTTTTCTTAGA